CCCCTCCCCCCGGGAACCCCCCCCCAACAGCCCCCCCCCCCCCCGGGTACCCCCCCCGGCCCCCCCCCAAAGGTCGCCCCCCCCCCCCCCCCCCCCCCCCCAAATCATTCTTTTTTGGTCGGGTGGCTGGCGGCGGCAGCTGCCTCGATGGCCGAACCCTGGAGTTCTACCAGTGGGGATCGGATGACGTCAAGGTGTTGCTCGACGGAGTGCGGGTGAAGATCGACGCCATGGCCAAGGGCTGGAGCGAGGAGGAGAAGGAGGCGTGCGTGTCGGAGACGGCGCGAACGTTCAAGTACGGGGGCAGCCTCTTGTCGAGCATAACCTCTTGATCTTTATAGAATAGATTTCCCATTTGATAGGTGTTGTTATCGATGTAGTTTGTTGGTGTTATTTGGATACAAGAGAGGGTGATTGTTGTCCGGTTTTACTGTGCGACGCGATGAGGCTCCTCGAGGCTGCTGCTGCTGCTGCTGCTGCTACTGCTGCTGCTTTTTTGCTGGCACGGATTTTGGAGCTTGAGGGTTTTTTTCGTCGGAAGGATGGTGCTCGTGCGCGGGATGGCGTCGCTTTGGGGGAGGGGGGAGGAGGTTCGCATTTTTCTGGAGAGGACTGCGTGTGTTGCAGACCTCGGCCTGATTTTTGTTTTGTGTACTATGCTGACGGACGAGAGCGGAGGAAATGAGTCGTCGATGCTCTTTCTGAGGGTGATAGAATACGACGGCGTTTCTCCGTTTCTCGACCCTTGTCCCCTCGCTTGCGGCCGCGCGCGGGCCCCGCGCCTTTGTGTTGCATCTTGTAGCTCTCAATGATGGCCGTGATGAGCTAGTACTTGGTGGGGGCGGCAGAGCTACGTCAAGAATCATTGGAATCCGTGTATCCGGTCCCGATCAACAACCACACCACTGATATCCCTTGGAAGAAGATGCTGGTGTGCTTTTCCTCTGGGTATATACCGCCCTTTTACAACAGAAAACCAGATGTAGGAGTAGGTCAGTCAGCGGGCGAAGCTCTCGCGGCAGTGGTGGTGGAGGGAGGAACGACGGGAGCTTCCATGCGACGGATTTTTTTCTTGACTTGACTTTTTGTCGGCGGACGTCTCCGGGCTTCTGTCCCTGTTGACGGTGTTTGTCGGGAGCAGCCGTGTGGGCGGCTTGCCTGCCTGCCTGCCTGCCTGTCTGCCTGCCTGCTTGCCTGCCTGTCTGCCTGCCTGTCTGCCTGCCTGCTTGCCTGCCTGTCTGCCTGCCTGCCTGCCTGCCTGCCTGCGAACACGAGGTGTTTGAGTTGCCACAGCAGCAGCAGCTGCCGCAACAGGGCGCCACCGGCCTGTGCTTGTGTTGGATGGAGCGATATCGTGCTGGCGCTGTGCTGCTACCGTGTTGTTGTTGCGACCAGGGATGCACTCATTGCATCACGAACCGTGGTGCCCACCCCCGAATTTCAGACTTGGCCTGCGCCATAGCCGCGTTGCGATGCCGAAGCGTGCGTGCGTCGTTCCGCGCGCGTGTGGTACGGTCCGAAGAACGTTCCTTGATCAGGGACGGCGGTTCCACTACCGACTAATCTTGAAAAGGAGGTGGCAACTTGGCTGCGGGGGGAGGTTCGGAGTTGATGCAGGAAGCAGGTTGGTGCATCGATGGCACTATGAAGACACGGAAGAGGTGGTTCGAGAACTACTGCTGCGTTGCACAACTAGCTACGGTGTTCCGAACTTGGATGGATCTTGAGGAACTATACGCGTGGTGTTACCTAGGCAGTGCGTGTTTTGCAGCGGCATGCGGAAGAATATTTGTTGCTCCGTTGACCAATGAGGATTGAGGACTGATAATTGATCATTACATGTATTCCGGGAATGAATCTCCTGACCATGTCGGTCGATCTGTGAGCTGCGTGAGCCCGCTAGCAAGTGCAGAGGCAGAAGTTAAATGAGCAGGGGAAGCCCTACAAGCTGTGCGCCATCTGCGTTTTTTTAATTGCCGCCAGGCATGCCCGAAGAAAAGTCTGAAGAGAAAGGAAGAAGCAAGCGCGGTTTCCGCTGAGCTGCTGCCGCCATGCATGGCATCTGACGCGATGCAGCAAACGTCATCACCCTCTGTGGCCGGCCGCTCAGCGGAAGCAGCTCAGGCACTCCTCCGAGCCCGAATAGTTTATCAGAGAGGGGATGGAGGGGGGGGGGGGGGGGGGGGGGGATTAAAAACTGGGCCCCGGGGGGGGGGAATCCAACGGTTTCCCCCACCCAAAAACAAACCCCTTTCCCTTTGCCCCCCCTTTTTTTTAAAAACCCAAAAGGGGCCCGGGGGGGGGTTTAATTTTTCCCCCCGAACCAAATTTTTAAGGGGGAAAAAAAGGGCCCCCCCCCCAAAAAAAAAAAGGCAACTTTACCCAAAGGGGGGGAAAAAAAAAAAAAAAACCCCCCCCCACCACCGGGTCCCCGGGGGCCAGGAAAAGGGGCCTTTAAGTTTTTTTGAAATTTGATTTTCCCCCCAATTTTAACCCTTAAAAGGCCCCCCCCCCCCATTTTTTTTTTTTTTTAAAGGGGGCCCAAAACCCCGGGAAAAAAAAAATTTCTTTGCCCTTCCGGGGAAAAACCCCCCCTCTTATTCCCAATTCTTTCCCGGGCCCGTTTACCCTGGGTTGACTTTTTTTTTTTTTCCCCGGTTTTTTTTTTTTAAACCACCCCCCCCCCCCAATTTTACCCCCGAACCCCAAAACAAAAACCCCCCCGGGGGTCTCCCGACCCCCCCTTTCC